AATGGGAAGAAACAAAACAATTCAAGCTGGGATGATGAATGGGAAGAAACAAAACAATTCAAGCTGGGATGATGAATGGGAAAAGGTGTAACCATTTAAGCCAGGATGATGAAAGAGAAGAGATGAACATTTTCAAGCTGGGATGATGAAAGAGAAGAGATGAAACCAATTCAAGCTGGGATGATGAAAGAGAAGAGATGAACATTTTCAAGCTGGGATGATGAAAGAGAAGAGGTGAAACAAATCAAGCTAAGATGTTGAATGGAAGTAGATTAAAAAACATAATGCTCGACAGCTACTAAATATGCTGGGATGATGAATGGGAAGAAACAAAACAATTCAAGCTGGGATGATGAATGGGAAGAAACAAACTTCTTTCTCTTGTACACAAGTAGAAAACTACACTATGATGTACAATTTCCTATAAATTGCAGCATTTTAATCAGTAACAACTGAAAGTAATGTTTTTAAAAGTATACTTTTTTCATATAACAAACGTTTTTTAACACAAAAGAATTATGCAGTAATTTAAATATTACCCTCTGGTGAGATATCCCTGCTGATGGTCATCAACCTATATACATCAACAATCTGTTCAAGACCATATCCTTTCAAGCCCTGGAAAACAAAATCCTATAGCTAAGAATGTTGCCCTCCTATTTTCCAGTTCAAAAATGTTTCCCAATTAAATTTCAAATCAATGATATTTCTGATTAAATACGTAAGGTTAAATTTATAGTGTGTCTGAAAAAATTTCAAAGAAAAATTTCAAAATCACCAAAACTGAAAGATAAGTTGCAGTTTCTAATTCCTTAATCTAATAAGGCCTGAAAGACATCAATCAACAAGATAACTTTCTAATTCTTAAACCTAATAAGGCCTGAAACATGTCAGTATGCCAAAGTTTTATAAACTATAAAAAATAAAAATACAGTAATTCACAAACTACAATATAGGAATTTTCACAAACAACAAAGCATAACACAGTAATGTCTCACATACCGCAATACAGTAATTTTTATAAATCACAGATCATGACAATACAAAAAATTTTCAAAACTTACTTCTGACAAATTAGGCATAGTTAACTTTATTCCATAGTATTAATAACTATAGGAAAATAATTCTCATAATCTTAAAATTTAATTCCCTTTTGTTTAAAATTATTTCTATTACACTCTCAAGATAAGATACTGTTGTTTTTTACCCCAACAAAAGCTCCTCTTATTGTAGATGGTTCACCTTCATGACGTTCCTCTCCACAGCAGAGACGAACAGCTTCGTTAAAGAGTGTTAAATTACACCGAGCTATTATAGAAATCTGACCCACTTTAGATCCATCGACTGCTCCTGTAAATACATTGTAAGTACATTAAACTCCGTAAATCTTGATAATTATTACAATATTCAGTTGTGAGAAAGATCCATACTTAACTATGATGAAATTTGAACATCCAAAATATTTTATCTCACTTAAATGGAAATGTGGACTAAAGTAGTTTCCAGAAATTGGATATTATTAATGGCTGTTTTGTGTACCCAATACTTCAGATCAGAAACAAACCTCCCATATAGGCACTTACAACAGTATTCAAACATCCAGCTTTAAGACAATTAACAGAGAAAACTGGTAAACTTCAGTCAAAACCATACTCAAACATTTCAATACCATCAGCATAGAACAGAGCACTTAACTGTTCCATCTTCTTTTTAACAAAACTAAATACTTTAAATAACACAGTCCTGTTTGTCCAAATTGAAGCCTTTACTTTATAAGAGATATTTTCATAACACGTTTATTGTGTTCAAAAACTTTCAAGATTATTTAGATTCTAAACACATGAATATCATGTTTGCAGTTGAAGAACAAAAAGAATCTAAACTGACTTTTCTAGATCAAGAGGTCATCAGCATGAACAACAGGTTCAAAACCAGATACTACCACAAACCAACATTTTCTGGTCTGTACTGTTATTTCATAACTGGTTGTTACAAAAATAATTAGTAAGTATTGTAATTCATTGAGTGTATAAACTGTTATAGTAAGTTTCCTGATGAAGTTATCAATATTAACAAATATTTTATTAAAAATGCCTTCCCCTCTAGCATTCATCAACAAAAGTATTTTTGAATATATTAATAAAGTTTACAACCCCAAGATTTCAGAGTTAAACATTCTCTAATGTTCTATCACCTTTGTGTTACCCTTCACTGGTTCTCATGGCATCAAACTAAAAAGAAAGAATCAAGAACATTCTGAATCAACTTATCCCCACATCAGCCTAACAGTAATCTTCAAGCCAAATAAACGAATATGTAACTTTTTCCTTTTTAAAGACAAATACCAAATCGTTGGTGGTATATCAATACATTTGTCCATGTATGGCTAATAGCAAGACAGTCTTCATATTTCTCAAACAATATCTTATCAAGAGATTTACATTTTAACTTGTCCATCAATGAAACGATGATTGTTAACTTCAGATATAACTGAAATAGATAACAACAAGCATTACTAAAGTACCGTTGTGACCTTTAAGCATTACTAAAGTACCATTGTGACCTTCAAGCATTACTAAAGTACCGTTGTCACCTTCAAGCACTACTAAAGTACCGTTGTCATCTTCAAGCACTACTAAAGTACCGTTGTCATCTTCAAGCACTATTAAAGTACCGTTGTCATCTTCAAGCATTACTAAAGTACCGTTGTCATCTTCAAGCATTACTAAAGTACCGTTGTCATCTTCAAGCATTACTAAAGTACCATTGTCACCTTCAAGCA